GCCATAAAATATCCGATTTCTGGCAGTCTCTTCCATGTCTAGGCTAGATAATCTGTAAACATACTGTCTAACTCTTCAAGATGCCACTATGACTTGCAAATTGCATGTCTGAATTGGACTAACATTTTGTTTATCCCTGCTCTTGTGGATCTTCCCTTATTTCTAATTAAATTTGGAACTGTATGAAAAGGTTATCTGTTTGGCTTTAGTGATCTTTGAATATGTATCTTGTCACACAACTGACAGGAAGGTTTCCTAAACTGACGTTAATGGGAATTTGAGTCTATGTGAGGAATCACGAAAGTTTACTGAAGGCAGCATTATGACTGTTATTATTCTAAATTGGATACCAAAAATGCATAGCAATCTGTTATTCCATGGAAAGATGCAAAGACAATGTTTATCCAATGAAAATAATTGGATAGGCTTCAAGGTCAATTTAAGTTTAGTTCTGACTTGTAACTTGTCTAAATCAACACATGATTTTTCTAATTGATTAGTGTATAATCAGCTGTAGAGACTGCAGGAAGACACATTGAATTTGTCATGGGGAATTTAATCTCCGCCTACATTTGAAATCCTAATCTATCAGTATTTGTTATGTTTCTCAAGGTTCTATTAATATTAATGCTTAGCTATAAAAAAATGCCAGCTGGATCGGATACTGACCACTACTCATTTAGAAATAATTCTGTTCTTGTGTTAATGTATGTTTGGTTTCTATTTGCTCTCTGTTCTAAAGGAAGAGTCTATATGCTCAAACTACATATTCCTTACTTTAATACTATGGCCCAGAGCAAGTGCAGGTGATTTCCTCATCAATCTCAGCAAATACAGCTGAATTCCCTAAATGGTAAAAGACTGACCTAATGTTAAAGACTCATTACACCAAAACCATGGAGAAAGGGAAAGAGGAAGGAAAAAAAAAAAAAAAACCACCCGAAATTAGTAGTGTTCTGCTAGATTTTTTGTTCTTCAGTCTTTTCTGAAAAACGTTCTACATATAGTTCTGTTACAAATTAAAAATATATAAGCTCTTTCTTTCAATATGAGATCTTAAATGTGTATTACAGGTCATGGCTATTGGTCGCACGTTTGAGGAGAGTTTCCAGAAGGCTTTACGGATGTGCCACCCATCTATAGATGGTTTCACTCCCCGTCTCCCAATGAACAAAGAATGGCCGTCTAACCTAGACCTCAGAAGAGAGCTGGCTGACCCATCTAGCACCCGCATCTATGCCATCGCCAAGGTAATACGTCACAAGGGGTCCAGGACTATTAATTTTTTGCTTTCAAACATAATCAGCCTAAAACTGAATCATAAAGTGGTCTTGAATTCAGGGATTTTTGGAAAAATTTAAATTCTCTTCTATAATCTTAAACTGGAGACTTCTATGGATTTCTTCAGTTTATTCTATATTTAATGTTAAATTATCCTTTCTTATTTCACTTTAAGCCTGGACATAAGGACACATTGCAGTTTTAAAGGATGATTAGATAGATAAAATGTCCATTTCTTTTAGTATATATGGTATCAATACCCTTAACTAGATTTGACAATATTGACTTATCCTTTCCTATTACCTTCATTATTTGTTCCTCGAAAATGTGTAAAATTTTATTTTAGGAAGGAAGATGCATATGATAGTGTCACTTAATATGTGCTACCTAAGACTCTAGAATAATCTTAATTTGATTCTTTTTCTGTGTTTAAACAACAGCAACAGACTATAAAGAACTTCCATGATTGTCGGATTTTCCATGTGATTGTTTTATTGGTCTTACTTTTAGAAAAAAAAGGTCCCACATTTCTCACTTCTATCCACTATTTCCTTTTAATGCAAATTAAATGTCATATTAATCCCCTTTCATATTTACTGTGCTTAGAGTTTTGAAGTTTCAACTCATCTGATTTTATAAAAGGTGACTTGGGCAGCTGGAATCTGTCTGGTCAGAAATCCCTGAATGGCTTCTTGACATTTAAGGAAGCGCAGGCATTAATCCTCCAACAGTATCAAACCACACCGGGTCTACAAAGCGCTGCTGACCATTTTATGTCTGTGTGTGTATATGTGGGATGAGCTGATGAAAATAAGAATTTTCTCTTTAAATAGAGAATCTGTCTTTGTAATTTATCTGTGTTGCAACAGAAAAATGTTGTTAGTGATTTTGAACTCACTGCAACTTTTATGTCCATATATTGAGAGTCCTGAAGAGAGAGGAAGGATATTTCCTTTATTTTTATCTTATGGTTTCTAAATGCAAAATATTTAAGTCCTATTGACATTTTGGCAGATATTATTATCTCTCTTGATGAACATTTTTCAATGTTGAGTTTCAAGGTAATTAACATTTTTCCATGGTGGTGGTGGGGGTATAGCAGTGATAAGAGGTTATTTTAGAAAGCTGTTTCACCTTCTTTATTTACTGTTCCTGTTTCAATCTTTTATTTAAAAAGCAATCTGTGACATTCACATGTGTGTACATATGTATACAAAAATGAATGTGTACATATATAAATACACACATACATACATATATATATATATATATATAAAAATTTGTTTTCTCAGGCAAAGGACAGTAAATGGATTTTCCCCTTAAGTCTAGCAATCATGTTTCTGGCACTTGGAGGCAGATAAAAAAGGGAAGCATTTCCAAGTTCCCAGCTAGGCTGGAAACTCAAGCAAATCTCTCATTCTTTTCTAACAGATGTATAAAGGATGAGAATTCAGGAAAAACATGTGGAGGTTCTTTCTTACACAGAGTACCCTGTGTACCAGCAAAAAGTACAGGGGCTGAGGTATAAATTATTGTCTGCTGGAGTGCTGGGAGAAGGAACTGATTTCTGTTTGTTAGAGGTCATCATTACTGCTCATATCCACAGCAACCAGGAACTTGGTGATTTTGACGAAGAGTGTAAAGACTGCGGAGGGCTGAAGGGGAAAAAGAATGAAGGGAGTGTGTAAATCTTTGCTTGCTTTCATGATTCTTAGAAAAGGGCAACTTGCTCTAAGGTCTGATTTTTGCAGTAGTCTTATATCAGAATGACTGGATCATCACCTCTTTTGATTTGGGGAGAATGCAGGGCATTATATTTTATTTTGGGAACATTAAAGTAACGTCAAACTTGTTTGGGGTCATTATAGACTTCATTACAGCTGCAGTGCTTGGTGATGAAGTCTTAAGACTGGCAGGATCATGCTCTCTGTTAGAAACTGTGGATGTGACCGTAGTTGTCCTTCCTCACCATGAAATGACTACAGAATTCCAGGCCCTACTTCACTGTGTGTGCTTGTGTGAAAACCTTTTTTGATCTGCCAAAGCATCGGTAGCTTCAGGTTCTATCCACCTCACAGTGTTGATGGCCGACAGCTAATTGTGCCTTTAATCACTTGGAAAATAAGATAGAATATTAAGTCCTTAGGAACCTGACTGTAATTACAGGGAGAATTAAACAAAAGAAACATAAATAGACTTAGGAAATGAACATGGCTTTGAGTATTTCCGTTAAATGTCATCTTATTCTAGTCAACAAAATTATGAGCCATGATACATCTTAACACTTACAATCATGGTCTTCCTGATACTAGAACTAAGAAAAAGCTTTAAGAAAACTAAGCTCCCTGGGTTGAAATATAACAGCAGAGTTAGTAGTTACATATATTTCGTAAGGGGGTTTAAAAATATAGTGTATCATTCTAAAATATATGTTGTTTTAGAATATTATCTGATTATTATTTTTCACTGGCTATATCTATATGCACACACATATATATCCATATGCATATATAAAAGAATAAGAATTGACATCTTTTGAGTATGAAGGTTTCGGTCTTGAGAGTTTATCTCTTTTTTCAGTTGCATTGCCTACTCAGCTCAATGACCCATAGTTGTAATTTTATTTTTGAGAAATTGCTAAAGTTAGCTTGAGGAAAAGCCTGAGCTGCCTATCAGAACAGAAGTTATTACTACATTGCTTTGGAATACATTAGGATTTTTTTAAATGCCTACCCTAGCACAAAAGTCATAGTAACTGATTCAAAATAATTTTCTGTTGAAAATCCTCTGGGGGCAAATATTCTAGAGAAATAATACCAAGCCAGATTTGACTCATAAATTCTCACTGACTATTGTATGTTTGTGTGAACGTGGAGTGGGCTGATAAAAATATGCTATTTACTAAAGGATAACTATAAAAATATAGGCTAAATAATCATTATATTTATTCTAGATTTTCTTACCACTTTGCCTTAACTGTAGTTTCAAGTTTCTCTTTAATTCCAAAGAGATGTATCAAATATAAGATATAAGTGGTAACACGGTCAAATAAGAGGAGGGAGATAGAACCTGGTAGGGGTACTTTTCTGAGCACACACCACTCTGATAACTCAAGGCAAGTACCTCTTCTGTGTACCATTTTTGGATGTAGTTGGTCTTTAGGTTTATTGGAAGGAATGTCAATAATGTCAGTTTCATGTTTCATATTTCAGTCTATAGTCACCAGTCTCTAAATAATGCAGAGATATGACTGCTATATGTTTTCAACCAAATGTGACATTTATAAAATGTTTGCCAAAGAAAGTCTCTTTTCCTTTTGGCAGGCTTTGGAAGACAACATGTCCCCTGATGAGGTTGAGAAGCTCACATACATTGACAAGTGGTTTTTGTATAAGATGCGTGACATTTTAAACATGGAAAAGACACTGAAAGAGTTCAACAGGTAAGGCGGTCTTGCTCTGATTCACTCCAGATATTTTCTGTGCAAGTTTTGAATAGTCTTCTTTTTATCCTTAAGCATTTGGCTAAAATTCTACTTCAATGAGGTAAATAGTGACTATGTTGGAAAACAACAGCTACAGCCAGAAGATAAATGACAGTTTTTTAGATGTTTGCCTTTTGGAAAGTATCTATTAATTTTTTAAATTATCATCTACCCCTATGTTTGCCATCAAATATAGTGATGATTTTATTAGGTCTTTTGAATTTACACAATTGGTATACATTTATAAGTTCATAACACATTTATGGATGCATGTGTTATTTAATTACCAAATATTACCTAGACTTAAATTGTATTAATCATTAATTAAATGAATAATATTTCTGTTTTCCATAAATTTTCTTCTGATTTCTAAAGCCTATTTTTCCCTTTTAATATCAACCTATACATTGCTATTTATTGATAAGAAAATGCATTCCTCTTGCATTCTACTGATATTTTTAACATTGGGACTTCCAGTTTAGCATACAAATAAGCCACATTCAAGTTTCTGTTAATAGACTCTTTACCTCTTACTAATTTACATTTTTATCTCCTTCATGGCCAATTATTTTTAAATTTCATTTCATGTTGAGAATATTCTGATAATGCCGTGCTTTAAAAATCTACTTTTTAAATTTTTAATGGGAAGACAGTTTGCTGGGGCACCTTAGGCTTATGAAATCATGAATAGGTTTTAAACATGTATCTTTGATAAGAGGAGCATTTATTACCAAATTAAGGAAGACAATATAGTTCTCTTTAGCTTCTTCCCTCCAGGAGAGCTCTGAAATATACTACTGTTAGAAAAAAGTCTCATCTACATGCCTAGTGATATGTTTAGAGAGGGAAAACATTTTGTGTAAATTGTTCTCAAATGATTTGAGAAAATGTAGGGACTTTAACCACTTAAAATGTTGATAAAGACAATGGAAGATCTCAAAGCCTGGGTTACTAAATTATTTAGCAAATGCAACATATAATTGGGTTGTTGTATTTGTCTAATCAATATATATACAAGCTGGGCAATAAAAAACTTGCTTTCTTTTTGAGCAAAATAAGATTATTTTTCATCTGTTTAATAATTTCCCGTGTCAAATGCTTTGTTTTGAAAATTTGGGATTTCTATCTGACAAAGATGAAACTAGCTATAGTTGCTTGTAAATCATCCTTTCTAGTGATCACATAAAATGAACAGTAGATAGAAAATAAGTTAGGAATTGAGCCTATACATTCATCTTAAGATTTTGCTGACTTAAATTTTCCCTTCTTACTTTATGATGCCAGCAGAGCTTCCATGTTGAGTTATAGTCTGTTCTGCCGCTTTCAGTTTCAGGCAACTGATTTCAAATGCCTATGAAACCACTCCAGTTAAACCACATGAGGGTGCTAGAAACTTGCAGTATGCCAAACGTAGCAGTGGAAAAGACCTGGGGTGGAAAATAGCAGATGTTATTGTGATTTAAATTTCCACTTGATATACGTTCTGATTTTTGGACAAATTCAATGTTTTAATTGAATAGTTCTTGTTACAACCAGAAGGCAGGTTGAGATTCTAACTAAGCATAAATAAGGGTATATTGATAGTGAAAAAGGTCCTTGGAGGATTAAAAAGAGACGCACTCTTACAGATCGCTTATGATATCTTTCTAACTTCTACATTCTGTTGCATTTATGTGTTGATAATTTGATGTTTTTTGTCTCCATTCTCTGGAATAAATATATTTGTAA